CTGCTATCAGACTGTGTCAAACCCCAGACCTAGAGCTGCCTTAAGTCACTGATTAAGTTCCCTGCCCTCCCTGTGCCTCTGTGCTATAAAATAGACCAACCTGTAGAGGGTCCCATGAAGATCAAGTGTAAAACACTTAGAAAGGCACATCGTAGAGGACACCAAAAAAAAAAAAAAAAGAAAAATCTTATGTTAAAGTTCATTTTTGATTTAAAAATAGCAACTTTTTATTGAGTTATCAGTTGTTTCATGTTCAAATTAGGTAACACTTTTTGTTCTCCTAGGCATTCTTACCCCTGCTGCCTCCTTCCTTGGTGACCTCTTTCTTTCCTCCCTATCTTTGTGTCCTGATACTATTCTTGAATTTATCTGTGACAAATGTTTTTGATCATAAACATCTAGGCATGTAGATGTTTTGTGAGATGCACTTTATTGTTTATTGTGTAGTCCTCATTTACTCATGTTCCTCAAAATGCCCTATTTATTGATTGTGCATATCCCCTTTGTCTGAGAAAGATGATACTGGAAAAGGACAACATGGAAACATGCAGTGGAATTAAGATTTGGCTGTGTACCTCTGTCGCTTCTTCTAGTTTTAAAATTACTTGAACCTCTGAAATGGAAAAATGAGAAGTTTGATAGGTGATGCATTTGAAATCACATCGTTTTTCCCATACCTTCCTTTTGGGGGTGTGTGTGCACGCACACTCAACATGTGTATATTGTCTCCTTACCCCATCTGGCATCTGCTTGAGCATCAGTCTGGCTAGCTGTTCTGTGTCAAGAGTACTTTAGCCTTTTCATTACGAAAGAGAAGGGAATGAAACAATATAAAAAAGAAAATACTTCCACCATCCTCCCCCACCTCACTTTTTGTTTTGTTGTTTCTAAGCAAATTTCTTGCCATTTACCTTTGCATTTGCATTGCTTATTGATTGGCAATTTTAAAATTGTTTATTGTGCTCTTTTGTTTCACTGTTCAGGAGCTAAAACAAAAGCTACCAGGCCCTGTGAGGTATGCATTTGCATGCGGTGAGCGTTGCCCGAGGAAAAAGTAATTGCTAATGCATATTTATGTGGCACAAATTTGCCATTTGTTTATGCATAAAATTATCAATAGTGCAGGGCGGCCCAGCCGTAGAAAATGGTGACCTTTTTAGCTTAATAAATAGAAATCAGCTGTTATTGTGAAGAGATCAGCCATTTATTCTGTGTTGAGGGACATTGCCGGGAAAATGCAGATTGGGGCTGGCAATATCATTAAATGGAAGGTCAGTGACCCTTTCGGTAGAGTCTATTATACTTTATCTAATAGGGGATAAATGGCTCTGGTTGGCAAATGGAATAAAGAACAACAGTTCTTTTTTTTTTTCTTTTGAAATTGTATAACTGTATGGATTTTAAGCCAGTAAAACTGAACAGAACTCTTATGCTGACCTGTTGCTAGAATTCTCTCAAAAAGTATCTTGTAAAGTTGCTTTTTCTATTCCTTGTGCTCTGACTACTTTGATTTGTACCCATTGAAACAAAGTAAGTCAAATGATGTTTTTCCAGGAAAATAGCAGTTCCTTTAGTGTTTAGCTTTCTTTTTCTTTTTTAACCATACTTTTATCTTCGCATTGCAGGTAACTGTATCTTTGCATTCATTTTACAGGGTGGCTCTCAATTTGATGTCTTAAAAATAATAAAGGTAGAAGAAGATAGTCTCGAAATAAAGTATCCAATAGGTTGTAAACTGAGTTTTTTTCTAAGCATACTACCTTCTAAGAATAAGAATCTGTGTTCTTTGGGTTAATGAATATTCTGTAAATAAAATACCTTCTCATCAACATATTTTCTTAATATGTAAAAAATCAACAGTTAGTCGTGGTATCTTTTTATCTTTTCTGGTTTTTTCACTGCTGCCTCTGATAGATGAGATAACTCCACCCCAGAGCTCATCTATAACTGTGGCGTGACCTCATACTATGTTTATTTGATGAATATCTTTGGTATATTCGTGAGCATTTGTACTTTTTACAATTTTTTATCTGCTTTTTTAATCAATATAGAATTCACTGTTAAATGGAAGTTGTGTTTATTTTTTCAACATTATTATGTAATATTTTATGCACTCTAAATTTTTTGTAAGTTGTGAAACAAGATAAGGAAACAGAGACCTGTAAACCTGTCTCAGAACATGGCAAAGCTTTTGACGCTACCTGCACGCTCCTTCCTGACTCTTCCTTCCTTCCTTCCTTCCTTCCTTCCTTCCTTCCTTCCTTCCTTCCTTCCTTCCTTCCTTTCTTTTTTAATTGAAGTTATTTGAAGTGACAATGGTTCGTAAAGTTGTGTAGGTTTCAGGTGTACAGTTCTGTAATACATCATCTATATATCACATTGTGTATTCACCACCCAGAGTCAGTTCTCCTTCCATCACCATATATTTGATCCCGTTGACTCTGTTTCTTAACACAAGTACAAGGCACCAGGTTTAAAGTTTCAACAATGGTGGGTTTGCAGCCACCGGTCTTTTTCTTGTGCTGCATTTCGGTATGTATGACTGTGCATTCTGCAGCATGTCACCAGAGTGACTGAGTAGCCCTTTAATGGCAGAAATGGGCCTGTTGTTCCTTTTTAAAGTAGAGGGTGTAAATAGGATTCACACACTAGGGTACATTAGTCCATAAAATGAATATATTTTCTGTATCATTTATAAGGTATCGATTTTAGGTCCATTAGATTCACAGCCCATAGTGGGAGGAAAAACAATGATTTAATGGGTAGGTTGGCATTCCGAAAGGAAGAGCAACAGTGAGTAACCCCTTCTTCCTCAACCCCCTGCCCCAATATGTAATATTGTCAAGTAGCTGAGAAGAGGACTCTTGGGAAAGGGGACAGTTTATCATCTGTCTTCCTTGCACTTTACAAGGGATCACAAAACAAACTTCAACCTGATTAAAGTCTATCACAGACTGTGATAGAACAGATTACTTTGGGTTGATAAGAGTTGCCAAGATTATTTTGCCTAAGGTAGTTTTAAAATTGATGTATACATTTTGCTTTTATTAAACCAAGAGTGTATTTATTTAGAGGGTCTTAGTAATTTAAGATATTGTTTAGGGAGATTACAGGATATGAAGGGATCAAGCTTAGATTTTTTAATTTTTAAGAAAAAGATCTTTTCAACTCTAAGACAGGAAAGTTGATCATGGTGTCATGTCAGCTATACCCTTTCTGAGGCAAGTTTTAAGTGATATTAGTGAGAATGACCAATACCTTAATTTAGTGTTTCCTGTTCCATAAATACATAGAAAATTATTGTTTTATATTAGCCTCTTTTCTGATAAGAGGATGACTGAAATATCATTTTACTTTTCTGTAATTAAATTCAGGTTCAGAGTACTCATAATAATTCTAGACAATTTTACCCAACTGATGTTACTACCACCTAAAAAGAATTTTCTCTCAGCCTGCTTTGACAGTTACATCTCTATTCTTATATCTGAAAAAAATAATTATAATATAGGTAGGAAAATTTTAAATTTTTCTAATATATTTTTAATCTTCTGACATACTATTATGTTACAGTTGAAGAAAAATATGCCAACTTAAAGCTAACTATCTCAAAAGTTGATATGACATAAAGATTATGGTATCAAACAAACATTTTAGAATGTCATACTTTAATGCAAGGTTTTTTGTTTTTTTTTTTTTAGTTCTGTGACAAAAACATAAAAATACAGGCTCCCTCTTGTGGGTAAAATTGCCACCTGTGTATTTCTGTATTGCCCACATAATAGGATATGGCACAGTTTCTCTGTTTCATTTTTAAGCAAATTCTGTGGTAGTCAGGTGTGACATTTCACTTAACTGAAAAGAAGTTGAGTTTAGGGTACATTTTTAAGCAAAAATTTTAATGAAAATGAACAATTTTTTTAAAAAAGTGCCAGACTATGTATAGACAATCTGTATTTTACTTCAGCAGCATAATTTCTGATGTTCAAAAATGTTAATAACTTTTTTCATTTTGGAATATTCTCCAGGGGAGTAGTTAGTGAGCTAATGAAATAATAGTCTTCTTTTTATCAACATGGTCACTTTTGGATTTCTGTGCTTATTAACAAAAGTTCTGATATTGGGGATGAAATTCCTTCGTACCAATCATGCTCCAGATAGATACAATATGGTAATAAAACGCCTCAAATACCATAAACCTTGTGATCAAAGCTGAATAATCGGTGGTATAACAAGAACAAACACTGAACCATTACTCTGTTCTCCATGAATTGAATTGATAGTGGAGAGACTGACCCGGAACCAATGCTGTGGCTGCCACCACATACACTTCCCTGTTTTCAGAAGTCTGATTCTTGGGAATTTCAACCGATTGCCAGAGGCCATTTCTGTCCAGCCTGGGGAAACTGGTAACAAAGCCAGAGTTTTATTCACTCATGAAAATGGCAAGAGCAGTATTTCTGACGTTTGGCCAGGCAGTGCAATCACAGAGATATACGAGTGTACAGAGCAAGGGGTGTGAATGTAGGGGTAGCTGAGTGTCTCCCACTAAACATTATGTGCTGCTCATCGCTACCATACATTTGAATGGAATCCAGCCAGGTACCTAGGAGGACACCTGAGGAGCTCTCAGAAATCATTCCAAGCAATAAGAATTTTTCTCAATGTCTCCTGTCCTAAAGCATCTATCTGCAGGATGTTTACACGAAAATGAGACAAAGTTAACAGCTTCAGAGGGGATTAACATATATGTGTATATGCATATAACATAACTTATATGCATATAAGTTTTTAGATTAACTCTGGTGGCGCTTTAATGTCAAATTAATGCCTCTTTTCCCATAAACAATGAGTTTATTGTGTTTATATATTCATATAGATTTACTTACATGTAAATTTGTTTTGGAAACGTTAGATATCACCTGTTTCCAAAAGTCATATGTTGATATATTTACTAAAAAGGAAATATGCACTGTTAATGGTCTAATTTTATTTTTTTCTAGCATTCCTTTTGCTGATGACACGATTCCTGTTTGAATCTGTGTACAAGAATCTGGAATCCGAACAGAGAATTTTGACACTGCACTGGGCAGAAAAAAGGTATGTTGAGAAAAGAAACATAATACACACTTTTGAAAAATTATTACAGTTGCAACTTCACAAAATGGCAGTTTATTTGCCTTCTGTGATTTTTAATTTATAAGTAGAATATATGACAGGCATATAAAATTATAGTACATAGTCTTATCTATTCAGATGACAATGGATATGTAATTATAATTTTGAAACTCATTATGAAGGTAAAAATCTTTAAACTGGGAGATGATAGCAACATTTCTTTTAATTGTTCTTAATGAGATATACTTTTCCTGAAGTTGCAAAATCTTTTTATCTCCATTGAAAACTACTTTCTAAAATAGTTGCTGCATTTTTGTTGTTGCTACAAAAGAAATATTTTGGGTCACAATGGGTAGGTCGCCCATTTTACAAAAATGTCAATAAGCTATTAAACATTCCTGGGTATGTTTTTATAAACAGATTCCAAAATGTAATTTTTCTGAGGCCAAATAAATACATTCCAATTTGCTTGACAGAAAAATTTAGTGGGCATCTGTCTGAGTATGCATTTATGAAATGCTTGTTGGTTTGTTTTTTTAAAAAAGTTATACTCTTGGAGACAGGAACTGAAAGTTCGAGTATAGACCTAGAGTTGAAAATCCCTTTATAATGCTGTGGCTGACTGACTATCATGTGGTGGCAGCAGAGAAATTTGGAGTAAGGGATCCCATTGTTCAGAAGAGGTTTATCCCTAGCAAGATGGAAAAGGCATTCTCTTTCAATTTGTAAAAAGAAGAATGAAAGTTTCCTTCTTGCAATGTGAGCTAAAACTTATTCACTAATTCACGCTTAAAGTTTTATGACTAATGACTTTAGAACTTCAAGATGCATATTTATTTGTGGAAACCCTTAGAATCAATGGTGGCTTCTACCTTCTTTAAAAGCTCAATTGTTAGAACTCTAAATAACATTTTAAAAATATTTATAAGAAAGACCTAATATATTCCCACACGAACGAAACATAATATGCAGGAAAGCATAGTGAGTAATGGATTTTATGCTAACAGGCGTAGAGTAAGTCACACATGAATATTGCAAATACGCAACTTCTGTAGTTTGACAAGTAAAAATATCAGTATAAGTAAAAGTAAAAGGAAATTAAAAACTGGGGCTACTTCTAATATATATGGCAAACATCACATGTAAAGAACTGTTATAAGAAAAACACATCTTAATTTAAAAGTTAAGATATAAGAACAAATAAAGAGAAATGTAATTCTAACACAAAAAGCTAATAAAAGTGCAAAGTTACTATCTATCTAGTAAGAAGTTACTGTTACTTACTATCTAACTGGTAAAAAGGTGTATGGAATGACAATATTGTAACAAGAATGTGGGGAGATGGGTGCTCTCAGCCATCCTGGAAAAAGGTTATATTTGCTCAACTTTCCAGGAAGTGATTTGGCCAAGCCTCTTAAGAGCCTTCAGTGTTTCCAAAGCATTCTATGCAACGTATCTACTCTGTTTGGAAAACATTTGATTGCAAGTAATCCAAAATAGTTTTAAAATGAGAACTTTATATTTCTTTTATGTGAAGTCCACATGGGCAGTTAGGAGCTGGTTGGATGGTTCCACAGTCATCAGGGACCCAGGTCCTTCATCTTTTGCTGTGTTACTCTGAACATGTGACTTTTGCCTGATATTTTGGACGATCCAATATTGGCGTAACAGTAGGGATGGCCATGTTCCAGCAAGAGAAAGGACCTAACTAACAGAATCTGGCTATTTCACTTCCAAAATTCTAACTTAATGAAATAATTCAAGAAGGAGTCAAAATGTGTTATGTAAATATGTTAATTTTCATATAGTATTTATAGCGGGAAGAATTTGAGATTGACTAAACTTTCCAATAATAGTGTAGTGGTTAAATTTGAGTATGTTCATAATATGGTAAGCTATTGTACAGCCAATAAAATACTTTTAAAGACGCATGAAATTATGTATGACTCAAAGTTAAATCATACAAGTCAGAATCCACACTAAAGATAGTGTGTCTTCAAATTTGTGCGTGTGCACACATACCCACATGCACACACACGTATACATTCACATATACATGTATATTACAAACAAGTGCAAATTAACAGAAAAAAGCAGAAAATTATTATTAGCTCTGGATTGTGCAGTCATAAGCAATTTAAATTGTCTTCATAGTTTACAGTTTTCTTTTACAATAAGTATGATTTTATTATAATTTGACATATGTACAAAAACATGAGATTACAAAAGATTTACATAAACTACTTAGTACCCCTGTTTGTTAAAATACTATGTATGTGTCTGTTCAAGGAGAGATGAAACAGCTTAGCACCCATCCTTTTTGGCTGTTTTTCCTGGATTCTGGTTGGAATGAGCCTTTTCCTTGTCAGTAAAGGTACACAGCCACTTAGAAATCTCGATCATATTGCAGCCTCGCTGCCTGCCTATTTTGGGTCAGGGCTGATTGAGACAATGTGCTGCAGGTCTGTGGCCTTGGGCAGCATGTGAAAGTTGCTGGTAGTCGTGCCTATTTCAAAGGAAAGAGCAAAACGTTCAAGCCTTCTCTTTTTTGGGTATAAGTAAAAGAGGTTGAGTACTGCAGTTCTAGATTAAAAATTTCTTTAAGTATGTTTAAAGTATTATGTTACCTTAGATAGAATATTAAAGGAGTGAGAATTTAATTCAAATCTAAGTGAAAAATCATAAATCGATAGCAATCTGTGAGAAATTCTTTGCAGAAATTGGAATGAGAGCATTTCCACTCCCTGAACCTGAATTGACTTCACTCTTTGGAACTTGTAAGAGAAGCATAATGTTCAGGAGCGTAGTCGTTGGAGACACACTGGCTTCAGCTCCTGACTGTGCCACTTATGCCTTATGCCTATCTCGTGTTGGATACATGCCTTAACCACTGATTCCTCCACTGTGAAACCTAAGTAATAATGGTATATGCAGATACTTACTATGTGGACACTAGCGTAATTATACCGATATTAAGCAAAATGGACTTTAAAGCCCCAACCATTACTGAAAATAGTCACTTTATAAATGTCTGAACTTTAAATTCAGTAGGAAGATAGGATAATTTTAAATCGAAATGCCCCTAATAATATAAACTTAAAAAAGTATTGAGGAAACATTGACATAACATCAAGGAAAACTAATCATATCCACAGTAGCACTGGATATTATCTCACTTCTGTCAGCAATTTGATGGAATAAAATAGACAGGAAAAAAAATCAGTAAGGATGTAGAGTTGAAAGACAAGATAAGATACTTGACCTGATAGATGTATATAGAATCTTGCATACAGTTGCAAAGTTTACATTATTTTGAAGAACACATGGAACAGTTATGAAAATTTGTATGCTGAGTCATAAATTAGTTCTTCTACCATTTTTTAAAATTTATTGGGGTGACAATGGTTAGTAAAATTACATAGGTTGAAATTAAGCTGCAAATGAATAACAAAAATATAGCTAGAGAAAAGTTTCAAAATGAAAAAGAAATCACAATAGAAATTATAAATATTTTAGACTAAACAAAAGTGAACATTGTACCGAAACAGCTGTATAATGCTTCTAAGATGTACTTACTGGGAAATTTATAAATGCATTAGAATGTACATTTGTACATTCTTAAATAAATGTATTAGAAAAAAAGAAAGTGTAAAATTAATAGGCCAAGAATTAATCTAAAAATGAACGACAAAATAAACTCAACGTAGTAGAAGGAAGAAATTAAAGTAAGAGCAAAATTAACGAAGTGGGAAACAATCATATGAAGACAAAGGAAGTGAAACGTTGATTGTTTCAAATGATGAATCAAGTTTCAAAACTTCTGATGAGAATGGGCAATAGAGCAAGTGACAAGGGGCAAATAACCATTATCAGAAATGACAAAAGAGATATCACAACAGCCAATGTAGTAAATCAAGGTAAGGAAATAAAAGTTATTAGGAATGAAAAATAAACAACCAGTTATTATTATTGGCAGATGATATGAGTTAATAAAAGCATTTAGCATGCATATAATGTAATATACTGAAATCAACTGTATTTCTATATATCAGTATCAATTTTTATCTAATATACAGTAATAAGAGATATACAATACCTTTATGAGGACATTTGAGAAACTTTACTGGGAAATATTTTCAAGGTTGAAATAAAGGATGAACTATACCATGTTTATGGAGTGAAAGATCCAATATTGTAAAGATATCCCTTACTCCCAAATTGATTTGTAAGTACAACGACACTCAAAATGCCAATGGTGGCTTTGTGTTTGTTTCTTTGTTGTTTGTTCGGATAGGGGGTGTGTGTGTGTGTGTGTGTGTGTGTGTGTGTGTGTGTGTGTGTGATGTGACAAGTTGATTCTAAAATGCAAAAGGCAAAGAATAGTCAAGACACTCTTGAAAAAAGAAGGAATAGGTAGGAGTACTTGCCCTACCGTTATTATAAAGCTCTATTAATTCAGAACACGTGGCATTACTGCAGAGGGAGACAAGTAGTCAAGTGAGACTGATCAGAGAATTTAGAAACAGACTCTTGGATATGTGGCCATTTTATTGATAATAAGGGTGGCATTTCAAAGCAGTAGAGAAATAACAGACTTTTTACTATATGGTCCTGGGAAATTTGATTAATAATTGGGAAAAAAATGAAATTGGGTCCCAGCCTCACTCCAAACACAAAAATCAATTTCAGTTGGAAGAGACTTAAGTGTAAGAGGCAAAACAATAGAGAAACTCCCGTAAGAGATTTTCCTAGATTCTTCTATAAGAGAACCTAAGAAAATAACATTGTGACCTGGGAGTAGGGAAGAATTCTTTAGACAAAAAAGTGCACATCCTACATTATTTTTTAATAGACTTCATTTTTTTTAGAGCAGTTTTAGGTTCACAGCAGTGTTAGCAAAACGCACAGAGATTTCCAGTAAACTACTTATCCCCTTCACACACACGTTCTCCTCCATTATCACACCCCTACCAGAGTGGTGC